CGGTTGGCCCTGCGGCTCTCACCGGGGTCCTGCGCCTTAGGGCTAACGCAGCCTGTCTCGTAGCAGGGCCTGGTATAAACCACACGCAAAAAATGCCGTAGCCTTACCAACCCGTAGTGTGTTTTTAATGTCAGCGAGTGATTTGAGTAATCGTTTAGTGGCATCGTTTTCCTCCTGGCAAAACCCGCGCTCCTTGCAGATAGTCTTGAGATCTGCAGACATCCCTCCGACAGAACTCTGAATCTAGATTTCATTCTAGCCTAGAGTTTTGGTAAAAGACATATGAAGTCTTAAAGCAGATTTTAATTGTTTTGTTTATTGTCTTTTGTAGATCTGCCTACCAGCATCTATGGGAAATCAGTGTATTTAATTCCAAATACCAGTGTGTTCAATCAATGAACCTGCATCGCCCTGAGGAGATCGCAACATCCCAGCTGTGTGCTGCTGTGCCTGAGGGTTCTGAAGCCCAGATTGCCGGCCTGGGGGACATGTTGCTGGTGGAGGTGCAAGTTCTGCCAGGTTACAGCAGCATCAAAAGTAAGGTCAGGACACATCTGGCTTGTATGTGGGAAATGGATAACAGGGTGTCAAACTTCAGGCTGCCCCAGAATGGACCCAGGTGAAAATGAGTTGTATAGCATGGCAGGTGAAGCTAACCAAGCAAATAAAGACTACAAAGAAAATCTTTCAATAATGTCTGTCTTATTACCTGTGTATCAGATGCTTCAAAATACGAGTCCTCACTGTTGTGGCATGAGTCTGGGCAGTCTGAGCAATAACTCCTTGCACGTAACTCCTGTGAAATGAATGCCTCATTTGGAGAAGCGACAGCTCCTTTGCAGGAGCCCTGTTCTGCAGCGCCAACTTCTCTCTTATATTCCATGGACCCCTGCAAATCCCAAAAGAGCAAAGATGAAGAAGCAGCCCAGTCTGTGCATCTTAACCTCCGTCATGTTTCCAGTGTTAGAACCTGGACCTTAGCTGGGGAGATAAAAACTCCTAAAGCTCAATCGAGGCGTGAAAATTACAAAAATGAGAAGGAAGCTAGATGTGACCGTAAAGGGTTAGTTCATCCTGGGAAAGATGCTTGTGCCTTAAAGCTGGGTTCCGAGAGAGCACAGCATTTCTGCGACATGGCACTGAAGTCCAAAGATGCTCATAAAAATCGATGAAGAGGGTCATGATGTGGATTGTGGCTTTAAGTGCATTTATTGTAGTTGTCACATGACTGAACGGGACTTAATGGAAAAATAATTTGAAATCACACAAGCGGGTGAAAGAAACCTACCAGTGCCTCGCCTGTGAAAGTGCTTTTGTGTTGCAAAGTGTGCCTGGAAAGCGCATGGACACAGCCATCAGAGAAAAGCTCACCTCTCTGTCCACAGTACGTTCATCATCTTTTGCAACTGAGCGGACAAGGAATCTTCACGTATCTTGCCATTATCAGGATATGTTTAAATGTCTGCACAGTGATTTTACCAGTAAGTCAAACTTTATTTTTCATTGTCATACTATTGCCTCAGCTATAAACTTCTCTGTGCACATAACTTCATTTGGTCAATGCAAAATTTTTTAGAGATTTTCATTGTGAGCTGTAAATGCTATCATGAAGAGCTAGAGCCAAACATCTTCATACTGGTTTAAATAGAAAATATAAGAATTGCAAAAATTCTAAAAAGTGTTGTAAATGTTCGCTTTTTGATGATGTTCCCTTATTCTGCAAAATCCTGTCTTGTTTTCTATTGTGTGTTCTGAATGTTTTTAGCAGTAGTTGACCGCCATGTTCCAACAATTTCAATATTATTAGCTTTTTAATGGCTCTGTAATATTACTGCAAAGGTACTTCTGTGAAGTTTTTTTTTTTTATCTTGAAGTTTTGTGATACTGCTGGTAGCTAAATATTATCTCCATAAATACTCTACCTCTGCAGAGTAACATGGTCTGTGTCTCTCTAAATCACAAAAGGACGTGATTTATTCTGGTGCCGATCTCCTTTGCATTGATTACAAATGTTTCTCTTGTACCAATTGTACTTTAAGTAAGTAAGAAGGGAAAAAAAAGAAAAAAATTCCATTACTAATTGCAAGTGTTTTGCCCTCAATATAGCCATGCATTTAGTGCTTGCCTTCAAGTCTGTAGGTA